AGTTGATTTTTATTGTGTAGAAAGAAAAAAAAGGCAGCAGTGTTGACCTGCTGCCACGTTTCCCAGTCAGATTTAGACATAGTGGTTTTTGTATTAAGGCTTTGAGGAATACTGGTAGAGATGCCAGATAAACCATCCCAAAAAAATCATTTGTGTTAATACTTAAATATTGTTCGTCTTTCACAGTGTTTACTTATCTGTTTCCCACATGCTGAACCTTACGGGGAATTTTTGTGGTTGACTGTGGCCCACTCTTTCATTCTATGTTTTAACTGTTTTCTTGATTTGCATTTTTAAAAAGAAATTAGCAGTAAAATTCTGACTGTAATAATCATTCAGAGCGTTCAATGGAACATTCCTGCAGCAGGGTAGACAGCAATTCTCGTGGTTCGCATGTGTTCCCAACGCGTAAATCCAATGAACTGCATCATTAGTACTGCCATGGGAAGTGTCCTTACTCAAGAGACCGAACGCTGGGTAAATCCGGTATCATTTTCTGAGATTCCAGGTTTGGTGTGAAGGCTCTGTGACAGTTAGTGATTTTCGGTGATTTCATCCTAGTTACCGAACCATTTGATTTTATCTGGTTTGTGAGTTTATTAACCAAAGTCTGTAGCCCTTAAGAACAAATGTGCCAGACATCTGAATTTTTGTCAGATTTGACACAAAGTATTAGGTGTGGCTTTTGCTGTGTATAGATTTTCTAGTACCTTACATGAGGCATAAATGGTCAGCTTGTGTCATTTGGTAATATGTACTTATTGTTATGTGGGGGTCCTTCCTATGGAATATATTAACTTTCCTTTTAAATCTAGCCATTCTTTCATGGGTCACGTTACCAAGAAAAAATATTTCTGACGGTGGCTTTATTTTAATTCAAGAATATTCATACCTCTGCTAAAGTAATTCAGATTTTATATAAAGAGGTTTACAAGTTCACGTGATGCAGTTTTTGAACTAGTGTCCATATAACTCTATTCCCACCTCTCCTAGCCCAGCCTGGTTGAAGTGTCACAAAATTAATTGTAACCAGAAGACAAGAGAAGGTGGAAAACTTCGCCCTCACACATCCCCCAGTTACTCTGAAGGGTTTCCGTTTACGACCGGTTAGGGCTGTTAAGCATAGTTAAGGAAAAACCAATTTGCGGACTGTTTCAAACAATTCCTTGGCTAGCACAGAGCAAAAGAAGCTGCGCTCACCTTCAGTCAGTCAGCTGCGATTATCCTAATGCTTTTTCTGATGAGTTTATTCATGGTTTCCAGCCAAACTGATTCTTTACACGGTTTTGTCATTACCTAAATAACAGTTGAATCTCATCTCAGTTGAGTGCTCACACAGCTAGCCCAGACACAGTAAAATCAAGAACCGAGTAGATTATTAGAAGAAAATCAAATACATTGATAGGTAAAGCAGGCTGTGAGTCTTTTGTAGCATCAGATGGCAATGTCATGGTGGATTTAATTTATAAATTTCAGGGCAGGATTCTGTACTAGATGTCAGGAGCGTTGCAAATACCTTCCCAGCCTCAGGCAACGCTGCAAGCAGTTGCAAACTACAGATGTCGTAATGAAGCAGTTTCAACCAGAAAGAAATACTCTTCAGCTTCACTTGAAAACATATGAAACGTAATGAATGCATGTTTGCTAATCTGTAATAGTATTGTATGTAACAGCCTGGAATCTAGACTTTTGGAGCTCATTTCTACATGCTTTTGGGTATTAAACATTAAGCTCTATCAAGCGAAGCATAACTTTAGAAAACACAAGTTCTTGTTTACACATCTGTGCTCACTTCTTCCTGTTCTCTTTTGCTCTGCCTTGCTTAAAAATTTCTTTTCTTCTGTCTGTGCCTGTAAGAAGCACGCCAACTGATCTTGTCATACGCGTTTATTTTACTTAGTCCTAATGTTGTGTATCTGTCACGAACATTCATGTGTAGGTTAACCCAACTGTCTATTTGTTGCTTGCCTCCTGCTTTGTCTGCTCGACTTCTCTGGTTTTCTTGAGCTTGATTGCGCTGCTTTCTGTGCTTGAAAAATCTTCTGGGCTAACCAGAGAAGCGCTCAGCTACGCTCCTCTTACTCTTCGCAAATCGTCCTCGTTGTTTTGTTCTTCACAAACCGAAGAACCTCTGTTTTCCTCCTCTTAAGCATCAAAGTTTGTGTTATTTTTTGTTAACAGCAACAGCAAAACCTCTCTTTGAAACGCACCCTCCATATAACAAAAAACAAGTTAGAAGATGTTTTCTTGAAGTAAATAAATACTTTTTTTTTGGCTTTGTGCTTCCTTCTGCCATCGGTGGTGTCTGGTGTGTCTTCCTGTATGTTTGCATTCTTCCATGAGCCCTCAAACAATACTGTAAGCCCTCAAAAAAAAAGGGGGGAGGGGGGGAACAAAAAGTAACGAAGTTCAAAAACCTACAAGAGGTTGTTGCAAAACATGATTTGAAAAAAAAGCTTTGAACACCTGGTTTTATGTATTTTTATTTTTTTTAGTCTTCTCTGCAACTGTGAAGGCAGATGCTTATTTTGAAATTAAAATTTCCTTGCACTCACCTGACTCCAGGAGCTGGGTCGTCAAGTAATTATTGAACAAGGATTTTTGCAGTATCTCATGATCCAGTGATCGACTGCCCCCCTATGCAGATCCACGTCAAGGGCCTGCAGGGATACAGTGCTTGGGTGCAGAGTACATCTTCCGTTGCACAGGATACAGCTCTTCCTATGTTGTAAACCTAGCCAGCCAGCGTGTTGAAATGCTCAAACTTTTCTTCAGTACGTGCAGTTTTAGCTCTTTATTTCGTATAAGCTCATTTTGTATATATTCTCTGCAAGTTTGTAGCTGTAGTGGCAGTATTGCTTTTAATAATTTACTTGTTTGACAAAGAAAACTCTTTTTATAAAATGGAAAGCATGAAATAGCCTAGATGTTGAGCATAGGCAAGGGGTTAGGTTTCGTTCTCCCCTAAGCTGACCCCTAGGCAGAGAGATTCCTGCTTTCATGTTTTAGGTCATGTGTAAAACCTGATGCTCTCTGGATCATCCTGTGTAGGGCAAGAATATCTAGGGAACATGGGGAGAGAAACAGAGCCAGACATTTGCAGAAGGGAATGAAATGTTTGGGATGTAACCTCATGCTTTCTCCAGCAGTGAACATCAATCACACCTTCTCAGAAAAGCGTGGCGTGGTGAAAGTGTCCCCCCACCCCTTTTTTATTGTTTTTGTTTTCCTCTTCCCCACTTTGTTTATTCTCCTTTCCTTCTGATGTGCTACAGCAAGTGCAATTTCAGCTCAGAAGCGTAACTTGTCCTTGAAAAAGTAGAGGCTTCCCTGACTTTATCCCTTTGGCCATTGAGTAAACAACAGTTATTTTTGTTTTGCCAGTGATTTATGACTGAACAGACTTGGAGTTTATATTTTTAGTTTTATAGGCAATTCAGATAATGTGTATTTGTAACCATAAAGACTTTGAATATGTTGTCCTCGTACAGTCTGTCAATGAATGTTGTACTCCCTTGGAAAAATGATGTGAATTAGAGACACAAGCGTTGCATTCTGAGAATAGCCTCATGCTTCTTTTTAAGTGCACATACAGATAATGCTTAGATGTAGCAGAATTCTGAGCATCTGTTAATAAATCATCTAGTGGGGTGTCCACCGGAAGAAATAACTTACTCTTCATAAACAGTCCAGTTTTCTACAAGGTTTGGAGTGAAATGCTGTAATGTCGACACTCAGAAGTAGTGAACTTACTTTTCTGTTAAATGGGATTCTACCACGAACTACATATTAAAACAAGAAAAAACAAAAAAAAAATCCCTCTTTCATTTACACTTTCATGTTATTTTTTTTTACTTGTTTGCACAGGTAGTAACCATTTCTTGAGAAAGCAAAAGTTTTGACTGAAAAGTTTTTTTTTTGCAAATTTCACAAAAATAATAGTAGTTTAGGAAAAAGATAAATGTGCTTTTTCAGTTGCCCGCTCCTCATTTCCCCTGTTTCTTTACCTAGCTTTTTTTTTGTGGTAACTCTGCAAGTGCAACCCTTGTAGTGACCCTGCGAAGATGTGTACGTGCCGCTTCTTGTACTGCTGCTGTCCCCTTCTGTTGGAAAGAAAATCATCTTCATTTTTCTCTCCCAATTCACTGACTTTATTCATGTAAATAGTATTTAAGTATTCAACTGTGTTTTCTGGGAAAAGAGAAATGTAAAGTGTTGGGCACCAGCACTGGTGAAACTTCAAACTGAAAATCCCTGTAGCTTAAAATTAATTACTTCTTGCACAACTGCTCCCTTCCCACCTCCGTCCCCAGCGGCGTTGGAGCGGGAACGCTTCCCTGGTAAATGGCTAAAGGCGTTTCCATGTGATTTGGGCTTGGCGCTGTGTGGGGTTTGGGCTGAGTTGCATGACGTGTGGTTTCCCCTAGCGCGGCTGGAGGAACGTGGCACACGTTGCATTAATCAGGGGATGCCAGCGTAAGGTTTTTTCCCTATCTGAAGCTACCCAGAAGAAAGTGTAAACAGAGGGACCAACATGATGATCCTGATTTAAAATTCTTGATGAAATCAAAGCTAAGCTTTGACAAAAGCTTTTGGTAGTTTTGTTGAAACATCTTACTGGTGTGATATGCAGAGTTTCAGTAGTAGATGTGCCAAGTATGCATGTACTTACAGTATGATCTATTAGAACAATCACAGAAGTATTAGTTTGTCTATTTTATTTAAGGCCTTCTCAGGGGCCTTATTTGTCTAGGTGCCAAAAATGTATAGACTTCATTGTAAGCAATTTACAGTTGAAAGGCAAGATGAGGTATGTAATGAGCATAGGCTGTCACTGAGGCAGCATGTAGTTTTAATGTGGGACTATAAAGGCCTTTTTTGTAAAAAAAAAAAAAAAAAAAAAAATTTAAACTCCTTGTAGAATTAGAAGGGGGAAAAAAAGAGGGCTTTGAGCAGATTTGATGCCTGAATTTTAATGACTTGGCTTCATTTTATTTTAGGTTGATATCGACTGAGTTACCAGAACTTTGCCCTACAAAGCTTTGGAGGGCCACTTCTTGATGGATTGCTGTAGCCTCTTAATTTCTCCATTGATCCTGTTCCCTGCATCGTGAGAACGTTTTAGCCAGCACAGAACCTAGAAAAGTTACATGTAAGTCTTCATTCAAGTTCCTTTCTTTTTAAAGGGGAAAAAAATAAAATAAAAAGGATTTTGGGGAGGCAAGATGGAGACAGCAAACATCGTGCTTCAGAAAAATACCACAGAAGCTGTAATCCAACAGCAAACATTACGTTGTGAATAAGTTGTTACTGAAGTATTCTTGCTGGCTTTAACTTAAATGGTGATTGTCATTGTGAAAGCTTTTCTAAGTGTTCCGCTTCCATAGTAAACCTTAGCAAAAAGTAGTTAAAATAGCTACTGTCCTCCCCCGCAATCCCTCAGTTATGAAGATTTTTTCCACAACGGGGTAACTTTGTGTATGTTTACTCCGGAGTGTTGTGCTAAAGCCGTGCTCGTGCTTCATGCGAGTTCAGAGGCCAGCCTTTGCTCGGTGGACTGTAGGCATCCCCCTTATTTTTTTTTTTTTTTGCTGTCGTAAAACCACTCCTCCTTTGCTGCAGTTTCCAGAACGGTTCCCTTGAAGGAGTCCTAGCGCCGTGCTGCTTCTCCTTCCCCTGGCTGCAGCCCTGAAAAGACCTGTAAGCTCCAATCGTATCTGCATTGTAAGAGCCATTTCCAGTTCCTTTCAGCGAGCTTCACATGCGGGGCACAAATTTAGCTGCTGGACCAAAAGTCAGAGCTGACCTACATGAGTGATAGGCTGTCATCGTGCAGGAGTCGTCCCAGGCGGGACCGCAGCTCGGGAGCCTGCTGTTTTATTACCGATTTGCGTTGTGAGATCCCATTGCCGCCCTGCGTGCTTGTCGTGCAGAAAAGGCAGGGCACGGGCATTGCCAGTCAGCGTGTTCATACGAGCTTAGTGCGTGCAGGAAATGTGATTATTTGATGTGGAAAGAACTGTGCAATGCTGTAGTAGGGTGGGGAAAGGCACACACAGATTTGCCAGGGAGAAAGAGGATTGAGGGGGCTGAAGACCCCTTCCTGTCTCCCTAATGTGGATAGTATTTGCTGGTGCGTGTTACGTGCTTACATTTTTCCTCCCAAGATGGGAGAACGGCTGTGGTGCTGTGCACAAATTTCCTCTCCTCAACACTATGGCTCAGTCCTCCAAAACCTCTCGCAGCATCTTCTAGGGGGGAGAGAGGCTGAGGCTGGTTTGACCGTCTGCACCCGCCAGCAGTCCCAGCCCTGCCGGGGTAGATCTGTGGGTGGAAGAAGCCTCTGGAGCACTGCAAGGAGAGCGTGGACACGAGGGTCTGTCTGCGCAACCCAGAGGATGGGGCACCCCACAGCTGCCAAGTTTGGAAAAAGGCTTGCGTGCAACTTTATCTTCGTTCTATTTAAAAAAAAAAAAAAATCCCAGTGTGGTCAGGAGGATTTTGTCTTAAGGACGATGGTGTAGAGCAGCTTGGCAAAAAGCCACCTGAAGCCGAGGTAATACAGAATTGTGGTGCGTGACGTTGTACTGTCTAGCAGTTTCCAGCATCAGTTGTGTATTAATCCAACATTCACAAGCAGGAGAGAAAACACGGAGCAGAGGGGGAATCTTGTATAAAATGCATTGCCCAGCTTCAGAGCCGGGGCCGTTCGGTTGCCCCTGCTTACGTCATGCTCGCTTTTGGTAGCAGTGCTGCTGCTTCTCTCGATTCGGCTGACTCCCGCGCTGCTCGGGCTGCACGCTCCTCCCTGCGTGGACACATGTGACACCCAGCAGCTGGTCAAATAACTCGCCCAGAAAAACCTCGGGGGAATCCGCGGAATGAAAAGTCACGCTGGCGCGAGCTCTGGGGCTGGCTGCAGCCTCTATAAGGACATCTGCTTCCAGTGTCCCCAGCAGGGGAATTTAGATCTTGTTAGGCGCTTTGTGGTGGTCGTGCTGTCCGGGCTCTAGCTGTTAAGTAACAGAAAGGCAGAAGTAGGAATTCCTTGAAAACCATTGGCAGACTGTGTTGAGGGGGGGAGAGGGCTGGGGGCACATAGAGGCTAAAAGGAGGACTTTTTTTTTTTTTTTTTTTTTTTGGCCTGAAGTAAGCACTGACATGTTGATCATGAAGGCTGGCATCCTGCCCTTCTCTTTTCACTGGAGTAATAAATTCATATTATGCAGTTTAATGACAAATCAGGCCAGGACAGTGAAGCCAACCACAGCGCTCGTTCTGGTCAGTTTGCCTTGAATGCTTACTAACACCGGGTCTATATTAGGAATTGTAATATTACTTCCAAAAAAAAAAAAAAAGTATTGAAGTATTGTGGAAGTGGGGAATTTATGTTAAAGATAAACCTGCATATGATGTATATAACCTGTTTGATTTGCTTGTGACATTAAAAGTAGGCCTGAAAACAAAGAGAGATCTGGTCTATTGTGAAAGAAACACAGGGTTTTTTAAAGCACGTGGGAACTCAGTTTTTAAAGACAGGAGATTTCTTTTTTTTTCCTGAGGTAAAGGGTATTGGCAAAAATACTAGTGAAATGGTAGGCAATGGAGAAAGGATTGGTAGAGAATTCGTTGTCGACCCGGCCTTGGTAAAACAAGGTGTTGGTTTGGTTCTGTTTTCTGAAAAAGGGAGCCTCTTGCCATTTTATTACGGGCCTTGCAATATGTGGTGTCGTTGTTAATAAAAATCCCCATGGGAGGAATCATCTGGCTACATGAGAATTGTGGGTGTCATTTAAAGTGTGTCTCTAGCGCTGGTCTTAGGGGAAGACAATGTGAAAATATGAGATGTAACAGCTCAGAAGCAAGCAAGCCAAAAGAAAGCAACGCAGCACTTATTCGTCTTAACACAATTCCCTTGTCATTTTGAAGCCTTACTCACAATTTTTGTGGACTTTTCTCAGGATTTTTGCAATGCTTGTGATTGGCCACCTTGCAAATTCACTCTCAAAATCCCTGCTAGAGGAACTAACTTTACAAATGGCATTCTTCATAGCGGACTTGAAAGAGCAGCCAGAAGCTGAGTGGACATAAATGGAAAAAAACCCTTCTCTCGTTCCCTGTCCACCGCTGAAGCCCATGGGCAGAAGTGTGTATAGGATGTTTTATTCTCCTGCTTGTACTGTGGATAATCAGAAGTCTCTGTTGGCAACAGTAAAATCGTATTTGACCGCCGAATTAACTTGAAAAAACAGTGCAAGGATGAAAAAGCTGTTGTAAAATAGGTGCTTTCCTTGTTTGTTTGCTTTGTTTCTGTCAGTTGTGCGCTCGGGATCATGCCAAACTTTTAAAACATGGCATGCGCCCTAACTCCAGGAAAATGCATGTGTCGCCTTGCAGGGCAGTGGGTTGCTGGCGGGGGCACCAGCTCGGCCCCCACATCTGTGCCAGTGGCATTGGCTGCACGGGCAGGCCTGCAGTTGCTGACTTAATTTTCCCGGTGTCGCTCACGAGCCTGCTGTCTGGCTTTTTAATAAGCAACTCCACTTGCAAGCATCAGCCTGCAAGCGATTCCAGGAGGAGGAACCCAGTTCTCCCGGACTGATTAGCCCAGTTGGAGAGAGCAGTTGTGCGAGGCTGACCGAGCTAAAACTGTCGTATCGTTCTGGCTTTTCCCGAGGTGCGGCGTATTTAGCGTGCAAGCGTACCTTTCCCCCTTTTGTTTCATTATTATTTACATTTTATAATGCTGCGAGCGTGCTGGTTGATGTGATCGCCATAAAAAATAGCATGCACTGATGATGCTCTAATTCAGAGCCGAAGGCTTCTCCCTTGTTCTGATAGAGCAGATTGCTAAACCCTGTTCACACGCCGAGATAAAAAGCCTTTATCCGGGTCCCCTGGGAGTAATCGCAGGGGAGCTTCGACTGGGGCTGTAACGAGGGAGCGTAGGAATTAGGGAGAAGCTGAACAGCTCGTAGTTTGTTGTCCTGAGCGATCGCTAATAACATGATACAGATGGGGCTTTGACCAGACGCTGCTGCTATCGCCGTGTCTGGCTTTTTAATAAGCAACTCCACTTGCAAGCATCAGCCTGCAAGCGATTCCAGGAGGAGGAACCCAGTTCTCCCGGACTGATTAGCCCAGTTGGAGAGAGCAGTTGTGCGAGGCTGACCGAGCTAAAACTGTCGTATCGTTCTGGCTTTTCCCGAGGTGCGGCGTATTTAGCGTGCAAGCGTACCTTTCCCCCTTTTGTTTCATTATTATTTACATTTTATAATGCTGCGAGCGTGCTGGTTGATGTGATCGCCATAAAAAATAGCATGCACTGATGATGCTCTAATTCAGAGCCGAAGGCTTCTCCCTTGTTCTGATAGAGCAGATTGCTAAACCCTGTTCACACGCCGAGATAAAAAGCCTTTATCCGGGTCCCCTGGGAGTAATCGCAGGGGAGCTTCGACTGGGGCTGTAACGAGGGAGCGTAGGAATTAGGGAGAAGCTGAACAGCTCGTAGTTTGTTGTCCTGAGCGATCGCTAATAACATGATACAGATGGGGCTTTGACCAGACGCTGCTGCTATCGCCGTGTCCCCGGGCAAAAACCGGGACAGGGCCCGGCAGCTGCCCTGCCGGCAGCACGGGGGAGCTGGACCGCTCTCCGAGCTGCAGTTGCAGCGCTGTGTTCCCGTTTTTGGCTTTGTCTCGCCGCTGTTCCTTTTCCTTTAAAAGCGGCAAAAATAACGCACCAATCAAGGGCATTCTGAGGACAGTAAATTGTCTTAATTTGTGCTGCTTGTGCACAGACTGTGTGGAGAATTCAGCAAGAGCCTTTAAGTAAGTGCTCTCTTCCAAAAAGCCCCCAAAACTTGAACTCAGAAAGCCTCTGCACACGACATCAATATTCTCTAGGTATGGGTTCTTCACAATTTCTTTTTGTAAGATTTCTTTAACTCTGTCCTGCTACCGTCTGTAGGCAGATGTAAATAATGTAAAATTTTAAGATGCAGATTTTGATGATTAGATGTCTGTCATCCGCCTACTACCACAGACTGGGAAAAAAATGTGTCTTTTTATAAATCTGCACCCAAAGGTCAGGAAACTTGATTGGATTAACGAGGAAACCAGATCTCTGAAGGTCAAGTCCCATCCCTTTGAA